AGATGAGTTTAATTCAAAGTATCAATTAAATTTGGATAGATCTATGATATCTAAGATTTTATCTAATAAGGAAAAATAGATAAATCTTATGGCTAATGAGACCGACAATATTATTTTTCGTAAGAGTAGAGTTAAGCATCCAAGTTTAGAAAAGGCTCTTAGTATTTGGGCTAACCAAGTAATAGTATCGGGGTTATCAGTTTCAGAAGCTTTAATTTCTGAAAAAGCTCGTTATTTTGCGATGATTATGGGTATATCCGAAGAAGATATGAAATTTTCTAACAGTTGGTTAAATGGATTCAAACAAAGAAATAATTTAAAGGTGTATAAAATACACAGAAAGGCCAATGATGCGCCACTTGAATTATTACCAAATATGCGAGCCGAATTAAGAACTTTAATTGCAAAGTATCAACCTGAAGATGTATTTAACGCTGATGAGACAGGGTTATTTTTTAGAATAGAACCCAATCTAACCTTATCATCTGGCCCCGTCAGTAGAAAAAAAAAGGTGATAAAAGTTTCGCTAATAATTTTATAATAGGATGATTTTAACACTTATAAAGAGGTGAAATTCACCAGGCATGCTATTTTTTACAAATGGCTTTATCAATTAGTATTTGGAATTAGGTCAGTATTCTAAAAACCTTTAACCTAATTCCTAATTCTAATCTTGAAGCTAAGAATAATAATAACACTGGTGAATTTCATTTTGATGATTTCTAAATAAATTTGCCAAGTTCATATTTAACATTAATTTTTTTAGAATAAAAATCAGCTAACAGTAATGTTAACAGTAAATTCTACAGGTACAGAAAAACTCAAGCCTCTTGTCATTTGTAAATCTAGTAACCCACGTTGCTTTAAAAAGGTTAAGAATCATGCTGCATTACCTGTAACATATAAAGATAATGAAAAGGCATGGATGAAGTATGACATTTTCGAAAAATGGGTAAAAGATCTAAACTATAAATTTCGAGTCGAAGATAAGAGAGTCTTATTACTAGTTGATAATGCGGCATCCTATTTTAAGCAACATGAAAAAAAGAAAAAGGACAAAACTGATAGCTATGTAAGTTATCTTAGATTATTTATTTTTTATCTTTATTTTTTTTTTTTTAAAAAAAAAGACTTTATTAAATAAGATCTTTTATGATCGACAAAAAGAGCAGTGCAACTGACAATAAGAATTCTAAGCGTGGTCGTGGACGTGGTCGTGGTCATGGACATGGTCGTGGACGTGGACGTGGATGCATTCATGGTTGTAGTCGTGAACCTAATGAATATAGCTCTAGCAATAGTAAAACTAATAATACGGATATTAGCTATAGTGAAACAGATAACATGAACATTGGCGATAGTAGTTATAAATATAGTATTTCTTATGATATTATAATAATTGATGGTATATCTTTATTGTTATTTATACTTTTCAGATCTTTCTATTTGTGTTATCCTAAGAACAACGTAAAAGGGGCTAATCC